TGCTGTTCTGAGAATATATCTTTAAGTTCCTGAATAATGTGCTCCACTGTTGGAACACTTAGGGTTTCTTTATAGTAACTCTCAGAGGTCAGCTGAGGTTCCAAGTTACTTTGCTGAGCTCTGCGGAATTTCCCAGGGAGTTTCATCTGAATATCAAGTTTGGCAGCCAAATTTGTGGCTTCCTCAAACCAAAATTCATGATAAACTTCAATATTTTCCATCACTTCATTTAGTGAATGCAGTACTGCAGTCAAGCTACTGGCTGCAAAGAAGACATCAGAGGTTTGCCCCTGGAGATTTTTCCCAAAGGCCCTTGTAAAAGAGAGGACATTTTTAAGAACAACAATAGTAACAATGAAATCGAAATCTGTTACTGCACTACAGAGGACAAACGCTCGGCCAGCTATACAGTTATTCCATCTAATAGTTGTGTCACTATTTATACCATCTAAACATAAAACAAGTGCTTGCAGAAGGTCCACTAAAATTTCGAAAGCATCATGCCTTCCTGTCCACTGAGAATGGCAAATTTCCTTCAGTTCTTTGCCCCTTTCTTCACTGTTCTGAAAAAGAACAGAAATTACATTGTCAAGTTCTAAAAGCAGTTGTGGTGATCGATGGAAAAAAGAACAAACTTCCTCAATTGTTCCCAATGCAACAGATACTCCCATAACAGGGACTGATTTTGCCAACCACATATTTAAGGCACAGGAAGAGCAAAGTGTGTAGATAGCTTGGGGATATTTCTCTAAAAGTCTAGAAGCAACAACTTTCATTTTGAAAGAAAATCCACTGGACACAATGTAAGCCTGGCCACGACAATACTCCATATTTAGCCCCCACTTCTCAGTTATTGTAGTGTGAAATTTCACAGCCAAAATTTCTACATCAGCTTCATAGGGCAGAAAGCCCACAAACTCCTCTCTCAGGTTATGAGATTCGTCAACGAACCTCACCAGTACAGGTAGGTGCTCTTCCCCTGCTATGTCCACTACATCGTCAGTGATAAGGGAAAAGAAGTGTGAGTCTCTCACTTCCCTGAGAGTTTCTTCCCGAATACAGCTCTCACAGATCTCTAGCATCTGTCTCTGCTGTATTTTTGAACAAAACAATGTGTTAACTGCTGTTGTCTCAAAGCGCTTTCTCAGGACCTCTTCACCAGAATTTATCCGGCACTCCAGCAGTGCTTAAAAGTTATCAGGAGTAAAAAGACCTTCTGGGATTTCGTCAGCCTCATGTCCATCCAGAGGTATGTTTTGCTTTCCCATAAGAATCAAGATTTCAAATAGAGATTTTAGGTATTCTTTGTTTTCCTTCTCTTCAAGGGTTAGAGGTAAAATGTCCTCATCCTGTTCTTCACCCCCCTCTTCTGCACTGGGATTCTGAGCATTGCTGTTGTTGGTTTCTTTATGTTTTTGTTCTTGTTCGGAAGTTTCATCAACTGGAAAACAAAGAATTATTTTACAAACAGGCTCATGACAAACTACACAAAACAAAAAAATTACATCTTTGATTGGCTGAACATTTAAAATCCACAAACTCATTCATTCAACATTCAACAGGGCATCTACTGGACCACAGACTTAGATACAAAGGTTAAAATAAGATACATTCTAGTGGGAGACACAAACACTGTAAACAGATACATTTTAATCCTAGATGTAAATGCTGTCATAAGATAGGAACGATTTTTTATAAACTTAAAAAGGCGCTTCACATATTATACAGAGTAATGATAGTCCATACCTCCAGAAAAAAGGAGAACTAATATTTACTATTATATATATTATTATATTTATATGCATCACATTACTTTCTTCAGGCAGGTGATGTCAACCCCATTTGACAAATGGGGGCACTAAATAACTTGTCCAACATCACAGATGCAGTTAGAAGGATAGAAGTGAAATTCAAATCCATGCTTATCTAGCTCCAAGGTCCATTATGATGCTGTTTCTATCAAACCATTAAGCCATACTTTTAATCAGGAGAAAGATGACTATACAAACCAATATAATATTAAGTAGATTAATGTGATTCTTAGGGCTAATATTAGAATACTAGAAATCTTAGCCTAATCTCTTCATATTTGGATGGGAAAACTGAGGCTCCACGGGTTAAGTGTCCTGCCCACAGTACTACAAAGTCAGTGGCATCCCCGGGAAAAGAATTCAAATCTGAGGAATCAGTTAGAACCTAGTTCTTAGAACATAAGACTATGACAGGGCCACCAAGAGTTGTACGGTACTGTGGGCCGTGGGAGGGAGGGGGGGAATACAAAACATTTAGAACAGAGAAGTTGCATTCAATAATGACAAGGATAAGGAAGGAAAACAAGAAGGGGTGGCAGAGGGAGGGGGCACTTCAGTCGGCAGGAAGTATTCCAGCAAAAGCGCTAAGGTGAAAGAGAGAAGCAGGCTGTCCAACTACAAAGGGAAATCTAGTCTGACTGGAGCCTTTGTAAGCCATGCTTCCAAGCATCCCAGGCCCTTCAGAGCTTCACCAGGGTTCCGTGAGGAGAACATCCTTCTCTCACCCCTCCTCAACTCAGATGGCACTGCTATTTACCATACATTACAGAGCAGTGGTTCTATACTAGACAGCTTCCTAAGCCAGAAAGAGGTTATATCCTGGACACCTGCAGACTTGGCTCCCTCCTTCTCTCCTCTCCTTTCTCCTCTACTACTTCTCTACTTGCAATCAGCAAGTACTAATTCTATTGTTTGTATTTTTTTTTTCTTCCAAAAAGATGCTCACTAAAGAGCAAAGAGTATAAAGTGAAAAGTAAGTCCCTCTCCTTTTGGCATCTTTCCATATGCAAGTCATAGGTATACAAGTTTCTTCAGTTCCTTGAATCTATTCCCTTTTCCCCACTCTCCCTACCTACCATTGCCTTATCTCAAGGCCTTTTAACTTTTATTTGGTCTCCTGACAGTCTAACTGGCCTCCCTGCTCCAGTGTTACCTTTTCTAACCCAACAGTGCTTTATATAACATGGAAATCAGGTCCATGTTATCACCTACTTACAAATCCCTCAATGGTTCCCTCTTGCTAACGGCTCACACAACACTGAAAGTTCTGGCTCCCATGGTCCCCTCTAGGTTCACTTTCTAACCATCATGGGTTATCAGAAACTCTAACATCACCAAAATGAGTGTAGTTCCCCAAACCTAGTACTCTGTTTCATGCCACTCTATTTCTGCATAGAATACCTTTCCCTCCTTTCTTTGCCTGAGTCAATGTCTCCATCCATAAAGGAGGAAAATAATAGTACTTATCTCATGGATACTGTGAGAATTAAATGAATATTAGCAAAGCACTTAGAATAATGACTTGGCACAAGTATTCAATAAAAAGGTCATGTTAGTAATAATAACAGCAAAAGGTGAAAGAAACAGAGGAAGAGGAGTAATAGTAATATCTGACGAGAATAAAAATCCTTTGGTGACACAGCTCAGGTATCAGCACTTGCAGAAAGGCTGTGATCACTACCCTCAATGACACAATGTCACTAAGTGCCCCCACGGCATTTATTCCTTAAACATTTATCAAGGACTTATGATGCACCACAAATTGGGTGGACAGAGATACAGTGCCTGTCCTTACTGCTGCCCTTCCTGCCCTACACTGGGATGCCCTGTGTGCCTAACACCCTTACCACACCGAGAGCACTGAGAAGGGAGAAGGAGTCAACTCTGTGAGGCCTGCACATGGCAAAGCATGTGGCACAAAACACTGAATAAAGATAAACGGAACTGTTTACTCCCACATACAATTCCAGATCACAGGACAAAGCTGAGCACACACTTCCAACCATTCTCAAGGTAAGTTTTTGACATAAAACATATTTATTTGTCCTTACCAGATCAAGGCCTTTTTAAAAGGCATTCAGAAGTTGAGTCATTAACACTATCACTTACTTTTTTTCTGTTTCAGTGTCCTGATTTCATCTTCACTCTAAATGACAGGAAAAAAACAAACCATCTTTAAGAAAACTGACTTCTAGTATATCATCTTAGACTCACAAATAAAAAAGCCTATTTGGAGCCAAATTTAATTCTTTCAAGAGCATAAATTCTTTGTATGGAATACATTCTTCAAACAGATGATGGGAAAACCAGAACAATAATTTGCTAATGACTCCAAGCTTATAATAAAGTCCTAGAGCAAAAAGAGAATACATCATTCAACTTACTTTCTATTTAAATCTTTGTAACTTTGGGTTACAATTGTTTACTGGCTGATAAAAGGCATGAAAGTACACCATGGCACTTGGGGTCAAATTCAAGAGGACAAAAATCATCCCCCTTCCTAATTTAACACTGGAGATGCCACAAAAGAGAGAGGTTGCTGAATCTCAGAACCTAACACACAAAAGCGGTAAGTAATCCCTGGGAAGCAGAAGGTGAGAGAGTGCCAGCATGGAAGAGAAATGAACACAGAACATAGTAGGCCAAGTGGCACAGACAGGTTAGACTGAGGAAGAACTTTCCAGCTGTTTCCTTTAGTCTCCCTCTACTAAGTGCTTAAATCATGACCCATCCCATTACTACTCTGTGGCAGGAAAGCAGCAGTGCCAGTCACAGCTGAAGACAGCAGGGTACCCACTGGGCAGCACTGGATATGGGGTGCTGGTAACAAGAAACATCAATCAGCAGGCTGGTCAACCTGGAACATTCCCTCCTTATACTGTGGGCTGCAAATTATAAGGTTGGCAGATCTGGAAGAGTGTGGCTGCTATGAGGTATTTGAGGTTCCCTGAGAGGTAAAATACAAGGAAATGATAGCTACAGGGCAGGAAGTGGTTGAGCTCCTCATCCCTGGTACATATTACAGGTGGCCCTCTGTATCAGTGGATTCAACCAACCGTGGCTCAAAAATATTTGGGGAAAAAAAAAATGAATGGTTGTGTCTATACTGAACATGTGCAGACTTTATTCCTTGTCATTATTCCCTAAACAATGTAGAATAACAACTATTTACACAGTATTTACACTGTATCAGGTATTATAAATAATCTAGAGATGTTTTGAAGTGTATGAAAGGATGTGCATGAGTATATGCAAATATATCATTTTATATTGAGTATCTGTGAATACTGGTATCTGAAGGAAGTCCTGGAACCAATCCCCCAATATAAGATTTTCTAGAAAAATTAAGGAAAAAAAAGGAAAAGTATCCAACTCATTTTATAAGGCTAACATAACTTTGATATCATGAACAAATTAGGAAAGCACATGAAAAGAAAATCATAAGCTAACACTTATAAATGCAAAATCTTAAATAAAATACTGACTACTTGAATCCAGTAGTGTATAAAAGCAAATAGATATATTGCAATAAATTAGGGTTCATCACAGGAATTTAAAGGTGATTCAACTTCAGAAAATTTATTAATGTCATTCACTGCAGTAAAGAATTTTTTATAATTGTGAATTTTTCTACTTAATAGATGCAATGAAAGCATTTGATAAGTTTAATAGGTTATGATAAAAACCTTGAATATAAGACTAGAATGGAATTTCCTTAACTAGATAAAAACGATTTAACAATACCAACAGCAAACATCATACTTAATGGAACAAGGCAAGTGTGCCAACAGTTACTGGAACTGTTGAACATAGTACTAGGGATATTGACTGAACAATAAGGCAGACAATAGAAAAAATTAAAAGAAGAATTGGAAGAAGAGACAAACTTCTCCTTATTTGTAGATGATACAATCAGTTGCACAGAAAATTCAATAGACTATTAGAATTAAACAAATTATTCAAAAATTTCAACCAGAATTTATAATCTATACTGATAAGAACTGTAATATTTAGGAAGTAATCTAAGGAAGAATATACACGTTCTTTTAAAGAACTGCAATAAAACCCCAAAACATTTTCAAATATTTGATTTGCTGTGCTTCTGAAAGTATTTTAATAGTCTTTTCAAAGAACTGGTATTTAGTTTTGTCAATGATTGCTGTTATCTGACAACTAATTTATTGGTTTTTTTTTTTTCCTATTCATGGATGGGACTAATTAATATGGTAAAGATGTCGATTCAAAAACAATTATAATGAAAATCCCAGCAGAATTTCTAGGAGAACTTAACAAAAGGATTTTTGAATTTATATGGAGGAATAAAGGTCCACAAATAGCTAAGGCAGTTTTGAAAAAGCAGAGTTAAACAATCACCCTATCTGAAAGTAAAATACATTACAAAGCATGGGAATAAAACAGTGTGGTACAGATGCAAATAATCCAGTGGAATGGAACAGAGCTCCCAGAAACAGCTTTGCATGTATGTAAACTTGGTATATGACAGATGTGGTATTTTATACCAGTGGAATAAAGCATAAAGTAATTAACAGACCATATTGAGAAAACTGGTTCTCTACAAGGAGAAAAATTAAGTTAGATCCCTACTAGACACCATACATAGAAACTCCAAATGGATTAAAGATCTAAATATGAAAGGTAAACATAGATGAGAATAAGGAAAATTAGATAAATATTATCCTTAAAAAGCACAAAGTAAGTGGATTGATATGACATACATTAGATACAATAGCATGGATACCAACAGGTTGGGGAGGAATAAGAATAATCACTGTAGACAAAGAAGAAAAAGTAATAAAGCAAAATAAGGGCCTTGCTAGTGGCAATGATGACAGAAAGCCATGGACTGAGGAGTCTGAGTAATTTAATTTTGTTTACCTAAGGCCAAAAAAAAAGAAAAAAACAGGTAGGTTTCAATCTTCAGAACTGAAGGATATCAAAGAAATATAAAAACATGTATAAATTATGCCTTATACAGAGATTTAAGAGTTTTTTCTAATCCCTGTCAGTATTTAATAGTGAAAGAATCCTCATTTTTAAAACTATCCACACCTCAACTTTTACAGTTTCCCTTTCTTTACTACTTTGTGCTGAATTCTGAAAACAGATCTCAGTTCCATTTTCCTTACCACAGAAGAAAAGGTAGCTTATTTTTTTTCTTTCCCAGGAATGAAAGGAGCTGGTGGCCTGTAATTAACACATTCTGGCCAAGTCAACCAGTATCAACTAGCTACCAACTTGAGGGAGATTTTTCAATTTAAATACTGAAACAAACTAATCATCTTACATCCAGGGTACTTTAATAGTAATCATAACATTCATTTCCCATTATACTTACTACCTCTGAAATAGAGAGTACCTTGGATTAATTTTAACATAAATGCATCTATATTTGATTTCCTAGTATTATGGAGAGGGAGGCTGAAGGCACATAGACATACCAATTCTTTTATTCGTTTTCTGTGTCTACTGTGTGGATTGTTCAAATGACTGGTAAGATCAAATATTGTTGGTATTGCATTATCTCGAAGAACTGTCCTATAAGGACTCTGAAAAAGAAAAATGTGTTAATTCAGAGATGGTCTTTAAGAATGTATTGCATCTGCCCTTCTGGCAATCTACTATAAATTAAGGAATTGAACCAATGGTAGGTGTAAAAAATAAAATGTACTTGCATTTTGCATATCTATTTCTAATTCAGCCTCCTAGCTGTTTTATCTGTCCCGTCCTTCCATGAGCCTACCTAATTTACAGGAGGCACAAGTTTCCCAAATAATCTGCCCTGTTGTATGTTGTATAATAATGCTTCCCTTCTTCACCTTCTGTTCACTCTACTTTTGCTAATATTACTGAAAAGCATCAAGGCACAGTGAAAATAATATTGGGCTTGGACCCAGGAGATCTAGGAACTAGTCCAAAGTCTACCAGTGACTCACTAAGAGACCCAGGCTAAATTACTTTCCCTTTTTGGACCCCAGTTTCGTTTTCTGAATAAAATTCAGGTATTGACCTAAATCAACATTTCCAAAAATTAATTTATATCACCATCTGTACTATTATACAATCCACTCTTTTTTTAGGTAACATTGTCTTAATAAAAATGGGAGAATGATGATTTGATGGGCTAGTTATGTGTTTTACACATTATGACATTTCTAAAACAAAAATTGGTTCAAGTGTCACTTGAAATCATACCTCACATCACAAGTGATATACATAATCACATTTTTGCAAACGCTAAACTAGGTATCTCTAAATTTCCCTCTACATAATCTCATCATTGAAGGATGATCATTCTCTACCCTACCTCCTATTAACCTAATTCAACTTGGCTAGAAGCTGGATGCATACTTAGATGGTTAACAGTCTTCCATAGCCAGCCCTGAGGAGGCTGGGTAGGGACAAGAAGTTTGTTAAGAGGGAGAGTAACAAATAAATAACTGGTATTCTATTCCCTCCATCTAGTCCAAAGAACAGTGCCTTTAATTTCTTCCTGAATTTGCAATGATAAAGACAAAACATATTTCATTAAAACAAGCTTTCTTAGTAGTGATTGTTTCAAAGTAGTAAAGCATGTTCAAAGAATATGCCAA